GTTTCTTACCTGGGCACTCCTTGCATTTGTCACCTGTCTCGTTCGGGTGGTGTCTCCTCGTCTTCCTGCAGCCCCCTTCCCCGGCAAGGCCAGTTTAAAGCTTGCCGTGCGAGATCAGCCAACCTGGAAGAGAAATCTGCTCCTTCGACACCCAGTGCCTTAGTCTGACCCCCCACCAGGGCATCACGAACTCCCTCAGCCCGCGACCACTGTGGCAGAAAGCCACCTTGGTTTCTTCCCAAAAACCTCTGCCCTGTGACACTGTGCTTTAAATCTCTGTGCTGTGACCATTCAATTAGGGTGGGCCCAGCACACAGGGGACCACACCCTCAGCCTGTCTCTTTAGGGAACTGGAGCTGGCTGCATTCCTGAGGGAGGGGGAAACCTGCTCCCTCTGCCTACGTGACTTGCATCACTTACCTGGGTGAGGGGTTTCTACCTGGGGAGCTGGGATCTGCCCGGTAACAGGTGATGCATTTCAGATTGGTTGGCTGACAGCCAACTGGGGCTGACCTCCGCTGGCCCAGGTGAATGAGGTCACAGGGGCTATATAAGTTAGGACGGGGAAGGAGGCGGTCTCTCCTCTCCGGCCATGAGGTGACGCAGCAGCCAGGCAGGGGACAGAGAAGCCTTAACATCTGAAACTGGCTCTCTCCCCCCAAACTCACGAGCTAGGAACCGCCTGCCTCCAAAGGGAAACTTCACCTGCCTTTGGAAGATGCTTGTGAGTAAGCTACTCAATCTGATTAGATATTTAGCTGGAAGTATCACAGATGCGTAATCAAAAGGCTACCACAGCCAGACTGTTTGCTCTTTAGGATTTCTAGATATTGCTCTATCCTGTACCCTAGTTTACCCTACCCCCTGTAATCAATAAAGTTCTCCTTTTTGACTGGTGTGGGAGACTTATTGAGGGGTGGGTCTAAATTATGCCTAAGAGACCCCTTAGGTCTGTGGACTAAGGGAGACTATACCTTTTTGCCCCCGGACTTGGGGAAGTACCCCAAGTGCCTGTACTGGGTTGAGTACCCGTGGGACTTTAGGCCTGTGTTACCCCAAGGACACAGGGCCGCGAGACAGTCCATTCTTGGGGTGGTGGCGGCACGTTACCCCCAGACTAGTGAGTGTGCTCCGGGAGAGGGGTCGGCCGGACATAAGGCGCCCCTAGGGAGGCATTCGGAGCCTGGAAGGTGGTCGGGCGCAGGGAGGTGGGCAGCTCGACACAGGAGCACCCCCTACTGGCCCGCCTCACGTGGTGGAAACAGCGGAGGGACACGAATACCCAGCTGTGTTCCTGAGGTGGGATCTCTGCACCCGCCACCCAAGACGCCCCTCACCCTTGCGCTCACAGCGGAGTCGTCCCTCTTGGTCAGAACAAGACCCGGGACAGATGATCTCCAATCGCGCCTCCACTTTCTGCAGTAGAAAATTGCTCCACATGCCACAGCTTGCTGGACACTCGTCGACCTTGTGATTCTTGCAGCAGCTGTCGGGGCCCCTGCGCGCAGCAGCAGAGCCGGGGCAGGACCGGCAGGGCTCTAGCTCCAGGCACGTGTTGAGCGGGGCAGCAGGAGGGCTCCTGCAACACTGCAGCAGCCGCTGGGGTGCAGGGATCGGCCCCGTCTCGCTCTCCAGCGTTGGGCAGCCCCAGCGCAGCCGGCTGCGCCTCTGTCCGGCGGTGCCAGCTCCTAGTTCTTGGATCCTCTCGTCCCCCTCAGCGACGGCCTCGTCCGGCTCTGCTCCCAGCCCGGTCTCTGGAATATTCTTTGGGGTTTGTGGGGCAACAACCACGGTTGAACAGGAAAGAAACAAAACCTGTTACGGATGAATGGGATCAGCTGCCTCCAACTGGACCCTCCCTCTTTCCCGATCCCCAGGGATCACCTCAGCATGATACCAGGGCATCTGCCCTGTGAACCAGCGACCCAGGGTCGGGCTCACCTGAGCTGCGGGGAAGGACAAGCCCGTGGTTAAGGGGGGGTGAAGTCTTCTGGGAGGGAAGCAGCCCGTGGGTTCAGGCCACAGGCAGGGCTCACAGCTGAGGGGGCAGAAACTCCTGCCGGGCAGGCCAGAGCTGGCCCTGGGGCTTTCACCTGCCCTAACTCACCTGGGCCCAGTCGGGGCTGGAGGCAGGATGCAGGACCTGCAGATGCACCGCTGCCCTGCCGCAGCCTGGCCCCAAGCTAATCCGGGGGCATTTGCCCACACAAGACATGCTCAGAGCGGACGCCCCGGGACAGGAGGATGTCACTCCCGGGCAGACGAATGGCAGTGTCGCACTGGCACCAGCAGCTCAGACCCAGGAAATAATTCCCCCTTTTCCGCTCTTTTCTCCTTTAGCAAACCAGCCTGGCTGAACACTAGGGAAGAGCTGAGGCAGAGGCTGCTCTTGGCCCGGGACAAACTGCAGCAGCACATAGCAGCGCTTCAGGCAATTGCCGACGCCGTGGACGAGGTTCACAGGGGAGCCACGATAGCAAACATTACCGGAGGGGCGGTGGGCATCGCGGGTGGCATCACCACCGTCGTGGGGCTCTGCCTCGCCCCCGTGACCTTCGGGGCATCACTGATCGTGTCCCTCACAGGGCTCGGCGTCTCCCTGGCAGGCGGCCTGACCAGCGCAGCAGCGACCACCACCGACATCGTGAAGAGTAAAGTCAAGAAGGGAGAGGTACAAAAGATCCTACAGCAGTGCCAGGAGGAGCTGGGACTCATCCAGGACTATATGAAGACCAACGGCAACAGGGAACAAGAGCTCTGCGAAGACCTGAGGCTGCTGTTTACAGTGTGGGGAGGAACCGGACGGGCCGCTAACAACACCGCGCAGATAGTCAGAGCCAGCGCGCTGCTGGCCGGCGCCGGGCGAGTGGCAAGATTCGCAGGAGCCGCCCTGCACACCATGACCACTGTCACCCTGGCGCTGGACATCTTCTTCACAGTCAAGGATGCCGTAGAGCTCCACAGGGGCGCCAGGACAGAGCTGGCGGCCAAGATCCGGGAGGCAATTGCTGGCCTGACGCAGACGATGGATGAACTCGACAAGGTGCAGGAGCTGCTGGCTGCAAGGAGCGGGACGCCGGGCGCAGCAGGCCTGTAGCAGAATCCGTCCTTGGGAAGAGTCAGTCGTGCAGTGCTTCCCCATGTGCTATCCAGCCGCAGTCGTGGTTGTCACACTCAAGTGTGGAATTAAAGCAAGGCCTTCAATCATCAAATGTTAATTAATAAGATATTAATAATGAAGGAGACCTAAAATCATTGAATCATAAGAAAATGAGGGTTGGATGGGAGCTCAAGAGATTCCATCTAGTCCAGCCCCCTGCTCCAAGCAGGACCAGCCCCAGCTACATCATCCCAGACAAGGCTTTGTTGAGAGAGTCTTCAAAACCTCCCAGGATGGAGACTCCCCAGTGAGGTTTTGGGTCTCTCCTAATTATAAATTTATAGTTTCATAGTTT